AAAATCCTTTTGCTTTTAAAAGCAGCCTCAACGATTCTTTACCAAATGGAAATTCCATTTCTTCCTTCAGTTTGATTAGAAGTTTACTACAAGTAGGTACCACTTTAAAATCACAGTAAAATTTTTCTATCATTCTCCGAATAATGGAAAAATCGACTCCATCAATTTTTTGGATCACAGAAGGGCGTGATCTCTTTTTTCCGGGAGAAGCTAAAGGCTGTGTGGAGGTTGCATTTTGCCTGTCTTTATCTTCTTTTCTAATTTTACTTATAGTTCGTTCACTAACACCCGTATAATATGCCGCCCTTGCATTTCTAGCTACCAGTGGATAAACGAAAGTATTGTTAGCCGCTTCTGCATCGCAAGCACGTATCACGTTTGCTATTATTTCCCTTGCCTGGCTGTGAATAACTTTCCCATGCTTGAATTCCATTATCACCACTAAACAGTAAATTATATTTTCAAAGTATTTGCCAACTGCCTACGCCTATGGGAGTAGGTTTATAAATGACCGTGCCATCGGCACGTTATTCTAGTTTCAGATAAGATAAGAGTTTTGGACCAATCAGCGACCGGATGTTTACCTGCGGCCTGGGTTTTCCAGCTACATTGCCAAATTCAGCGGAACAATTCTATATCTTAAATATGTTAATATGTATGGACCGCATTTTATGTAGAACATCTGACAACTTCGCAATTTTTTGTCCGCATTCTTTCGGCTTGCAATCTTTCGCTGGTCCAACAGTAAACTAATGTTGAAAAGAATTTGTCTACGTTTACATGAAAAGGTGCTTATATTCAGACTTGTATTGTGTTCATTGCAGATAATGTAAAATCAAGGAATTTAGTTTTTCTACTAATAACGCATTTGTGTCTGGAGCAATGAAGTATGAATTCGTTTTCTAAAGGTATTTAGGTAAATATTCATATTTGTCTATATACTCTTGTCCATTACTGTACATCTCGCATGCGAAATCACTGGGTGGAAAGCCAACAAATTAATAAAATTCAGACATTTTTAAATTAACGTTCAAATTAGACAAAAATTTACATTGTAAAGCTACTTCCCCGCCCAATATCGGAACAAAAAAAAATGCTTAGTTCAAGTTTACTCTAATCAGAACCTCATTATTGCCAAGCAAGCAAGCAATTTCAATTATACTTGCAAAAACGCTTCAACATCCCTAATTCAGCAGTACGTAGAATCTTAGCAAACATGTCCTGACCGTGACAAGATGAGGCCATTCATTGGATCATGCTAAGCTATGAAGAGCATTAGTGCACTCCTAAACTAAAGGTGAGATTGTCGTCGAAGCTTTGCTGATTACAGCACTCTGCATGCAGGAAGACTAGCAGCAACTTCTTCTCTGACGGGAGACCTGGAGGTTATTAATGTATGGGACCTCAACAATCTGGATAGTCTCCAAAACACATTACTGCTTCTTGAATAACAAGTAGCGCCCCAGCGCTCATCCAGTTTCGATGGATTGCAGAATTCCACCAAAGAGCAGCGGCAGCTGCTGGGAAAAAGCTAGGCTATTTGTTAAGGGCTAGGAAGTAATTTTCTCCACATAAGCTCCTCACTCTGTATACGGAAAAGATCAGATCTAACCTCTAGTACTGCTCACATGTTTGGAGTGCTGCCGCCCCGACTACATTTTCCATGCTTGAGGCTGTCCAACTAACCGTTGACACTTCTCTAAAGGCATCCTTTTGCACAAATGGGTCGTCGGCGGTTTAGCTGTGTTTTAGAGCTCGCCCGCATGAAGCTGTGTGTTGAGCCTGCCCAACAGATCCGCCTAACTTCGACCTCCCATCTTAGCCATGTCGAATTAGGCACATCCAGAACTGGCCGATACGACCGCTCCTTTGTCCCAGCGTATCTAAATTGTGGAACAATCTACATAAGGGGGCTTTTCCCAGTTATACTAACATTAGGCAGTTCGAAAATCGGACCAACAAAGTTTCTTTAAGGTCCTCATATCAGCCGCGGTACCCTGGTATTTAGGCTTCTGCCTGCGCGGCTGCTTCAGTATAAAAAAACGATGTCACCGCCCTCGGTGCTGCTTTACTCTCAGAGCATACCGATGAACACAAGAGAGTAATGATGTAATGTAACATCCAATTTCGACATTTTTCTCGACAAAAATAAACGAGCCACCCTGTACGATTCTTCTTACGAATGCATCCCAAGCAAGGTTTGAGGCAAAGTACTCAAATCGTCGGAACGGTGAAAGTTCGAAATATATCTGCGATACGCGAGTCCGCCATAACCGAAACTTCGGCCGGGCTTTTAAAAGTCCGCCGAGAAACTCGTGTAAATATGGCCCTTTTGTGTACGTCCTCAGAAGCATGCGAAACTCCTTTGAAAGTCCATCGACCGTAGCGGACAACTTCAATGAGCCTTGAAGTAGGTATTTAGGGCATGCTTGATCTCGACTCAGGAGCGGAGTGGCGGCGTTTTTTTCTTTGGAATTGGAAAGGACTTCAAGTTGCATATATGGGTGAGAGAATGTTCAAGAGTTGTTTTTGTTTGTCTGTGTATTTCAGTTGGTTTACAATGATTTTCTTAAGGCCGTATGTCAAGATACGAAACTTTATACGCAATTCTGTAACAAATTGCACATAAGACAATTTTTGACAGTTCTGTCATTAAATTCGTATATTTAGTGTTAGTTTTTTAAAGTGTGAGTGTTTGCAGATAATTGTGGTGTTAGACATGATTATTCTTAGATAACTCTGATCAACAGCCAATAAAAATATCCTAAATAAAATCAACAAAATATTACTATTTTTAATGTGCTAAAACCGGAATGAAACTTATTTTTTCAATATTAGTTCAAGTTTTAGAGATACGGTAATTATATGTGTTCCTGCTGTGACAGTGTTAATATACTGTAATTCACAAGAACGCACGTGCTACATTTTTATATTCGGCAAGGAAAGATGATGTAATCGGCATGATTGTGTTACGTTATACATACGTGTACATTATATTGTTTTATATTAGCCATCTTTTCCTCAGTTGGCTGACAGCGTTCATGCAAGATGTCTCGAAAGTGTGTAAACAATCCAGATCAGTTTTGTTACGTGTGTGGTGATGTGACTTTTGCGTCTCAGAGACGGTCTCCACTAATAACAAAGGCATATCAGCTTTATTTCGGTTGTAAACTAGGTGATCAAGACAAACAGTGGGCACCCCACATCTGCTGTAATACATGTGCTTCAAGTCTGAGGAGCTGGTTAAATGGCAAAAAACGGTCTATGCGCTTTGCTGTCCCAATGGTTTGGAGAGAGCCTACAAATCATATTAATGATTGTTACTTTTGCATGGTACCTTGTGTTGGACAAGCCACAGGTATGTCCAAGAAAAAAAAATCGGTTATTAACTACCCAAACATACCATCTGCGATGAGACTTGTGCCTCACAGTGACAAAAATCCTATTCCAAAACCCCCAGAATCCTACACTTGCGAATCAGAAAACGAATCAGATCATGGCGATCGAGTGATTCGTCAGGAAGAAGATATGCCATCAACGTCAAGAGATCCTGATTTTATACCGAGCACGTCATGCCACCAACCGCACAAAATAACACAGTCAGAATTAAATGATCTTGTAAGAGATTTAGAACTTCCAAAATGTAAGGCAGAGTTACTTGGATCAAGACTGCAGCAGTGGAACTTGTTGGAAGACGATGTTTCGGTATGTGTTTTTCGTAAACGCCACAAAGACTTAGAACCATTTTTCAATATGGAGAATAACTTGGTTTTCTGCAGTAACATTAACGGCTTACTGGCGGCTTTAAATATAAACTATAACCCAGAAGAATGGAGATTGTTTATAGACAGTTCAACATTGAGTTTAAAGGCAGTGTTATTGCATATTGGAAATATTTTACCATCTCTTCCTGTAGGGTATGCAGTTCACATGAAAGAATCATATGACAATATGAAGTACCTATTGACATGCATAAAATACGCTGAGCACCAATGGCATATTTGTGGAGATTTGAAAGTTGTTGCACTTTTACTTGGGCTGTAGCTAGGCTACACACAGTTTTGCTGTTTTTTGTGTTTTGCCATTAGAAGATTCGAAAAAATTTTATTACCACCACTGCATATCAAGTTGGGCCTAATGAAAAACTTTGTCAAGGCATTAGATAGAGATGGGTCAGCTTTTCAATAACTGCGTCAGAAATTTCCAAGACTAAGTGAGGCAAAGGTTAAAGAAGGTATTTTTGTTGGGCCACAGAGTCGAAATATTTTGAAAGATACACAGTTTGAAAACACTTTAACAGGTATTGAAAAAACTGCTTGGAATGATTTCCGTCTGGTGGTCACTAATTTCTTGGGAAATAGAAAAGCTGACAACTATAAAACCCTTGTCAAAAATATGCTGTCATCGTATCAAAAGATGGGCTGTAATATGTCTCTTAAGATACATTTCCTACACTCACACCTGGACTTTTTTCCTGACAATTGCGGAGCCGTAAGTGATGAGCACGGCGAATGTTTTCATCAGGATATTTCAACAATGGAAAAAAGGTACCAGGGAAAGTGGAATCCTTCCATGCTTGCAGACTACTGTTGGACTCTTGGTAGAGATGCTCCAGAAACGATCCAGTATAGAAGTATATGAATCTTGTTACTTTTTTAATATATCCTTAAAAATATTTTTTTTTTCCTAAACCGCAACTATTTTTTTTATTTCATTGTCATTTTTGGATTCAGCGCCCCAAAATTAACAAAGAAGTGCACTTTTCCCACAAGATTAAAAAAACTAAAATTTGTTGTCCAGTGTAATTTGCAAAAACTGGCACAAGCTTAATGAAGATAGATGTATCCAAGAAGTATTATACAATGCTGTCACTTTGGTAGGCATTGGTAGACAAATGAGTCAAAAGTAAGCTCCAAAACTAGCAACTTTGGCGACAAACAATGCAATGTAAACATATAGTCAGTATATTAAATAATGTAAATGTAACTAATTACACTTACCTAGTAAGATACGTATGCCTGGTGCGGTACGACCCCTCTCTGTACGGCCCACCGTACGGCACGCCCCCACTTGCAGCGTTTGCTCCTCCCTCTTCGAGATACGCGTACGAATACTCGGCTGGGTTCGGAGGCGGGGCGTCGGGAGCGCCGACCGGCCAAGGCGAAGGCGGAGCATCGGGAGCGCCGACCGGCCACGGCGGATCCGGCCTCGTCGACGGCCCGGGCGCGTTCAGGTACTCCTCCATGTCCGAGGGAGGGTAAGACGGCGGAGGGGGAAAGTGCAACCGCGGATGGTGCCTCAGCAACGACGCTGACTGGCTGTGGACGTGATGCTTGCGCAGCGCGTGAATTGACGAAGGCGTGGTGGCGATGCGACGGTTGGCATGGCAACAGTCCGGGGAGTGGCATTGCGGTAGGGCAGGGGCCGTGTGCTGCGGGTGTGGATGCGAGTGGTGGGGGACGTGCTGGTCTCGATGGGCGGGGCCGGATGCGCGATGCCACATTTACCTGAAAACAAAGATAAAACCAGTTAAGAATATGAAATCAAACTGACTATATACATAATAAATAGGGTTGAGCAAAAGCTAAAAACTTCAGAGATAAAGAAAAATAAAGATCATGTCAAAAACAAACTATAGTTTATAGTACAGATCTGTAGAAACGATTCTTGAACCTGTTAACTGTCCATGCATTAACAACGTCGTAGGGCAGCCTGTTCCAGGTATCAAATACTCCGTTAGACAGGAAAAATTGGCGATTCTCTTTCATTAGTTTATGGATGTGGCCTCGCAGCTGGTTGGTGTTGAGACGGCAAAGTGAGGATATGTCACTGCCTAAGAAACCGTGCAAAGCTCTATCTGTGATTATCGTCTATCGGACAAGTGAGTTAAGTTGAATAGGTTCAAAGTCCAGCGAATTCCATAATTGGCCTAACATATGCTGTGCCAAAGCCCTTACTTACAGGATCTTTCAATAAGGTACAGACTCCTTTTGGCTCTATAGCGCGCTTACCTCTCAGAACTTGTAGGATTATTTAGCATACCTGCAGATGCAAGGATATGTTCGTGCTTCAGCTCAGCTTGTGTTTCCGGGGACTGAAAGGCCTGTCACACAGGCTCTGAAAGGTCACCGTCAAGGCTCGATGAGAGAGAAAGCGACACCGTAGATCCACCTGGGATCTTAATGACCGAAGGACCTTACATAACATCAGGGGGGCCTTAAAGCTTGCAGACCTAAGGCTAGAGGACGAGGTTCTCCATGACTGTTTCGCGCAGGACTTGCGAAGTTTACGCTGCGGACCTAAGACCGTCTGGACAGGGGAGAGGGGGAGACTCTTCTGGTGAGAGAGCACAGAAGCGCTTCCGCCAGATGGAAGCGAACATCCAGTTGACTCGCAAGAAAGCGTCCCGTACCCAGTGTGTGCTGGACTTCAAGCGGTAGAACGGCCTTTCACGTCTCGTGTTCGTCGCATGGCCTCTTAGCTCAGCACCAGCCATCACCTACTCAATGGCGATACTTGCTGTTTCAAGTAACATTGCCTCGTCAGGATTGTTGGAGCACAAGAAGTTATTTTCTGAAAAACATTCTTGCCTTGTCCAACAGCGACCACCACTCATAGAGCAGCGTGCAACTGCCGATCGCGTGGACACCTTCTGACGAGAGATCGAAGCTTTTTCAGGCAGACACTCCGGCCTTGACGCAGTTTGAGTCCTTTTGTCAAAGGACTCCGCGTGCAGATACACTGCGTCAACCGATAACCATGGAAGAAATTCGTAGTGCCTTGGTAGGAGCTAAGAATTTCGCAGCGCCTGGACCAGATGCATAAACACCTACTGGTGGAAGAAATATCGCATTTAGATAGAATTTTTAACTCGTGACTAAAGGCAGCCAATTCCGTCTTGGTTTGGGGAGTGCCGAACCGTGCTACTCCCGAAAACCGGAGATTTGTCGGATCCCATGAATTACATACCAATAACGAACCATGTACCTATTCAATGGGGTTACGCATTTGCTATAGTTAAACAACTCTGTATGTGGGTATTCACAATGTAGTTTAGATCATCATTTGAAGTGGTCGCATCTAGTTGACGCCTTCTCCCTGTAATTCGCCAGCCTGTGTAACGTATGTTCACTGCTCAGCCTTGTCAAATTGATCAACCTGTGCCTGATACCTTGACAACAGGGGATTACAGGAAAGCGCACCTTCCCATTCTACGTAATTAAATATGCCCGGAAGCGAGTATGTACATCGCTGAACAAAAATATACTAAGTGACATATAAATCCCAGTTTAAATGGTTTTATTTTAATAAAATTTTGTATAAGTACTTAATGAAGCATAATAAGTAAATGATAAAAATTTCAAAATGACTGCACTGCTTTAAAGCCCTTTGACCTTTAGTAATGTGTGGATGCACCCTGATGTGCTACGCATTCTCCAACGCGCCTAGGCATGCTTCTGATCAGGTGGTCAATGTCCTCCTGTGGCATCTCATTCCAGGCAACCACCAACTCCTCTCGAAGTGCTTCTAGAGTCTGAGGAGGACGTTGCAAATTGAGCAATCTCCTACCCATCATATCCCACACGTGCTCAATGGGGGATAAGTCGGGAGATCTTGGTGGCCATGGTAACAATGTGACATCATTATGTTGAAAGAAGTCTATTGTGACTCTTGCAACATGTGGTCGGGCATTATCTTGTTGGAAAGTTGGATCTGCCAGGGTGTCAAGATAGGGTAAAAGATGGGGTTCTAGAACTTCGTGGATATAACGCTGCACGATGAAGGTTAAAGGTGACCTGGAACCATAACTCCAACAGTGTGATGAACATGTCTTTCAACAAAAAACTGTGGATTCCTCCTTTCACCACGTCGCCTTCTAACCCTGGCACGACCATCGTGCATGCCCAAACAAAATCGAGACTCGTCACTAAAGACAATACTGTTCCATTCCTGATCCCAGAGTGACCGTTATCTGCACCACTCAAGGCGATTACGTCGGTGTTCTCGAGTTAAAGGGAGGACCCAGTGTGGCCGGTATGAAAACAAGCCAAAACTCGTCGGTAAACACTTCGCATGCCAATAGGTCTTCCGTGTTCTGCAAACCATTCATTTGCAATGGACCTGGTAGTGGAGAAACGGTCCCTTAAGGCCAATAATCTTAGGCGGCGATCTTCACGGTCTGTTGTTCTACGGCGGCGTCCAGTGCCCCTTGCTCTTTGCGTACGGCCTTCTCGAAGCCATGCCTGACAACACCTAACCACAGTGTCTACACTTCTTTGCACTCTAACTGCAATTGCCCGAAAAGAAAGTCCAGCTTCCCGAAGTCCCACTATACGGCCCCTATCAGGTCTCCGTACTCTAGGCATCGTAACCGATCGTAAAGGATGTCAAGAACCAAAATCCGCCAACGTTGATTCTTTACTGCGGCTGAAATATTCATTTTTAGAGCGTTAGTGAATTAAAAAAAAGCAGTATAAAAACCGGAATGTCCAACTGACAAGGCTGAAAATGTTTTCACTTGTTATTTACAGTAAGATAAATACATTCACCAACTTTTATTAAAATAAAACCATTTAAACTGGGTGTTCGGATTTATATGTCACTTAGTATATATAGCTGGGACAGTTCGTGAAAAAAAGAAGGAATTTTTGATATATACATTGTTTTGATTGTTACTCTAATCAAATTAGAGAAAAATACTCATGGTTTGCTAAATAACTGTTAAGTCTGGCTTTACTGATGCAAGTTGTTCAAAGGGGTATTTAAAAGATGGACGCACAAAATGGGTACACCAATTTTTGTTGGAAAACCTTTTATTCGATAACAAACTCCTGGTTTCCTGTTTGCAAGCTTACATTTTCTATGGCGTATGAAAAACTGTTTGATCGCAATAAAAGTACACATAATGCGAAAAAGCATGTATTTCTTCAAATTAAAAAAAATTATAGAGAAAAAAGGAGCTTCATAGATCTGAGCCTCCATCCTGCGGTTCTGCACTCGTCAATCCTCCCCATTACGCTTGTACCACTATACTTGATGATCTGATCAAAATTACAAATTGCGTTTCGGCAACTATATCCTTTGTTATGTATATCCTCCAAATTGAGTTTGATAAACAAAGTTCGACTATATAAAATGATTATTAGACCAGCCATTACTTATGCATGTGCGGCTTGGTGTTTTCTTGCCAAGACACACTTGCAAAGTCTTCAAGTGCTGCAAAGCAGAACTTTGCGGACAATTTGCAACGCTCCATGGTATGTCTCAAACGAGACACTACACAGAGACCTTGAAGGATTTTGTCAAGCTTCAGGCGCAGCGACGTTATAGTCAAGCGGAATCGCACAGCAACCGTCTGTTGCGTGACTCAGCGGACTATACAGTTGAGCAAGTTCGTAAGCATTCAAGACCACGGCTCGCACTGTAATAAAAAATTAGTGCGAAGTTTTAGTAAACTTAAAATTACACTCTAACAAAACCGAATCAAACTTTGTAACCAAGACTGACAGATTCGACTAACGTACATTAGACAGTGACTAATGGGAAAAGGACCTACGTACCGCCCAGACAAATAAATGACGAATAGTATCAAATCTGATATAAACAATTTTAGTACTCATCGAGGATGGATAATGTAGTCAGTACACTATAGCGTTTTGAGCACTAGTTGTTGAGTTATAAACAAGTTAGTGTATAAAAACCTCTTGACCTTGACAGCCTATAGTCCGCCATTTTGAAAGATTCAGCTTTATACTCTACGGGTGGCGGGCACCAACCATGAGGATAGTAAACTTATATGTATTCTGCTGAAAATGTATGTAATTGGTGACTTTTGTAGTTTTCTTTATGTACGATGAGACGATGTTCTCAATACGGAAGAACTGAACTCATCAGTTTCATATATCTTTAGCGACATACTAATTTAGTTTTGAATGCTCTTGTTTGCTGCTCCTAAGACTACAAAGGAATCAATTGAAGTGTTTTCTGATATTCATTCTTATAATAAGAAACGAGAGTTTCATTATTTACACTCTATTCGGTTCATATTGGACTTGAGTATGTTTCTCGAGAAAAAGAAGTACTTTTGACTAAGGGCGTGTTTCCGAGGCGTGCCCTTTTGTAAGCTCGGTATGCGATTTCGTTTTTGCCTATGCTCTAATTAATTAACTGTCGTATTACAGCGGGCGATACTTTGAAGGATTCATCCGCCGCATCTTTTTTTCACCAGGACTTTTATAGCTTCGCTGATATGCGTACATATACATATGCGCGATCGATATCAATGGAATATACGCGGTGATACATCCGACAATAACACAAAAAATATATTTTTTCTGTGACGGGATAAAAGTTTGACAGTTTATCTCTGTTGACAGGTAACAAAATATCACTTTTTATGAAATTACTTAAAAAAATGAGTACTTTTTTCCCGGGTAAACTTTCCGCGATTTGGCTGGCAATAATTTTTGTGACGCCACTTTGGCTACTTCTACTAATTCCGGTGGAGAGCCAAAGAAAACACGGAATCAGACATTTTACTTTACAGTATTGAAAGTAACTTCTACACAACCACTAAGTTCACAATTTTTAA